GGCAATGTTAAAAAGGTTGAGAATCTATGGGTTAAAGCTTCTCTTCCAATATGCACATTTTATTAATATTATTTTATTAAAAAAAAAACTCACTGTGGTCTTTAATTTTTCCATAAAAAAAGTAGCTGTAATTTAGAAGTGCATTTAAATTTCATTTTTTTTCTTCATAAAAAATAACTAAAGCTACTCTAATGAGCTAAATTTACTGATAATATTTTGTTTGAGAAAATCGAAGTTGTCTTCAAAATTATGCATTGCTTTTTCCTTATTTCTTGTTGCATGCACAGAGGCTCCTTTATATCATGGAGAAACATGGGATTTAATGCAGAGAAGATGGTCCAAATTAGAAAAGGATTTTAAACTGAAGACTGGAAAATTTGATATCAGTAAAGTTCCAGACATATATGACTGTATAAAATATGACCTTCAACATAATCACCACAATCTTCAGTTTCCACATGCGGAAGAACTATATATTTATGCTAAAGCTTTAGCTGATATAGTCATACCTCAGGTAAATTTGTTTTCGTTCAAAACTGTGTTTTCTTGATAAGTAAATCATTGAACTAGTATTTCACTTTTATTTTGAAACTTAAATATTACAATAACTTTAATAAAAACCATAGATGCAATGTGAGAGAGTTGGCACAATTTTTTTGTTTTTAGAAAACTTCGTTTATTTTAAGTTTTATGTATATAAGCATATTTATTTTTTACATGCATATGCATTTACATATAAATGTACATATCAAACTTAAAACAGACGAACAGGTTTTTTAAAACAAAAAGTGTGCCCCTGTCACGCTACGGTAAAAATTATTGCAATTTTAGAATAATTGAAATTATTTTATATGCTCTTTTATTTTTAACTCTTAAGTTTTTAGCATAATCTGACTAAGAAAAAGAGAAAAAAATTATTTTTAGGAAGCGTTTATTCTAGGCAATATGTTTTGTATTAAAATATATTCTTCAGGCAATTAGTTTTTGCAATTTACGGTAATTTTAATTTGGACTTGTTAAATTTTTAAAGATATATTTTGATGAAATATTTCAGGGGTTATGTTTCATTTTTACAGTTTAAGGGCTACAAGCAATATAGTTATAAACCATATTTTTTACCAAACTTGTTATTTTTACAAACTGCTCTTGTAATACTAATAATTAATTGTTTTCAAATAGATACTTTGACAGGTTTCTATAATTTTCATTAAATAGCAGCACAATATGCAGAAATATTTTATTGGCTCCGTTTAAGTCATAGAATTTCTCTTGAAATTCATCACCTGAGCTATAAAAAAATGTGGCTTATCAATATATATTTCCCCAAGCTCTTTAATTACAGTGGTGCCTAAAATAAAAATTTAATATTTCCTTTCCATTTGTCAAGAATTCTTTTATTATTTTGTACCAAATCTGATGTAATTTGTATTCTTTACATAGGAATATGGAATCAATCAACATGAAAAACTAACAATTGGACTTGGTATATGTACTCCATTGTTAAAAAAAATCAGGGCTGATCTTCACAGAAACATTGATCCCACAGCTGATGAGACGGAAAATGTAAACAGACTCAATCCTATGTGAGTTGTTTTTAATGCGTCTACTTACAGTATTACTTGGTGCATAAATTTTACTTTTTTTCCTGCCTTATAACCTTATTTGAGGCAGATCATCCTAAAGGGAACCAAAATTTTTCTAGACAGCAGTTTAACATTTATTTTTGTGATTTTTTTTTTGTAATTATATTAAATTTTATTCATTCCTTTATTTTTGTAGTTTAAACTTCATGATGTAATTAAATGAAGTTGGGAGTGTAT